TGTGTGTGTGTGTGTGTGTGTGTGTATGTGTGTGTGTGTGTGTAGGTAGCATGCTTGCATGCGTGCGTGTGTTTAAAATACCAAGGGCATTCTTTTAGTGAAATATCAGAAATTCTGTGGCCTTGTTTTGTGAAAATCATCTCTCCCGACACAGTGTCCTGACACAGCTGCTACATCAAATGCAGGTGTTGAGGCCTCGGGTGTCCATGGCATCCCAAACAAGCTCCTGAATGCTCTTGACTGCACTGGACTTCATGGTCTTAAATGTCAAACAGTGCTAAAGGTTCTACAAAAGCCTCCTTCGGAGGATCCCAGGCATAGAGATGTCCTTTCTTTGGGGCTATCTCTCGAATGAAAGGAAAATGTCTCTATCTAAAATCTATTAATTTCATCTCTTAGCTTTGAAGACCTCTTCACAGGCTCACTCTATGGATTACTCCATAGATGGTACTGAAGACAAGGCCAGCATTAAACAAACAAAAAACCAAACCAAACCCCAGCAAAATGGGCTGGTGAGATGGCTCAGCAGGCAGAGGTGTTTGCCACTAATTGAGTTTGACCCCACCCGGGACCTACATGGTAGAAGAGGAGAAGCAAGTTGACCTCTGACCTCCACATGTGCACCCAGACACATGCAACCTCTCTAAATACATTTAAAAAGATCAAGGAAACATGGAGGAGACATGAAATGGGAAGGACACAAACCCTCCAAATCTGTGTACCTACTTATGGGGTACAGTGTAATAATTTGATGTGCATGTGTAATGGTCAGATCACGGTGACTAGCATGCTCCGTTCCTGTACCTTTGTGCTGGGAGTCATGGAGTCGCTGTTGCCAGAAACTGCGGAAGGGAGCGATGCCCGTGCCAGGCCCAATGAGGATGCAAGGCAGGGAGGGGTCTTCAGGGAGCTGGAAGCCACTGACACTGCAAGGAGACAGAAGGAGGGAGACCTCAGTCTTCAGACACCCTAACTAGAAGCACACGCAGGATGGGCCGGGGAGCTAAGCACCTGGTAGGGTGGTACTCTCAGGGTTGAAGAGAAACATTGATTCCCAAGCCCTGGGCAAAGCTTTATCCTCCCTGCCCAGGTTCAGGCTCACCCCATACTTAAGTCTCTGGAGAAAGGGCCAGTCTCACTGTACTCTGGACCCCACCACAGCCATCCCCATTGTCCTCAACACGGACTCCACTACACCTTGTAGCCAGATGGAAAATGAGGAGACCCAGAATTCGCCCCAAAACCTTTATGGGCTAAGGG